GTGCCGTCGCTGAGCTACGGACGGCGTAGTTTGGGGGCAGATTTGACAGGTTTGACGGGCATCTTGAGGCTTGTGGGTATCGTGGCAGATATTCTACCGAACGCGTCGATGGAGGTGAAATGGGCGCGTAAAGATTGTTTAATCGTAGAATGTAAATCGTGAAAATTTAAGAAAAGTTTCAATTGAGTTGAAGCAGTGTATGATTTGGATCATTGTATGTTCAAGGGGTTCAGGGGTGAGGGTCAGGCTGGATCTGAAGGACGCAGGTCGCGTTCGTGAGGCTTTTTGGTGATGTGAGGCCTGCTTGGCGTGTATCGCTACGCTCTGGTTCACGGGGAGACAGAGATATGGGTTCGCAACGACGAAAAGTAGAGCGCGCAATCATTTATATCTTTCCTTTTGCGAATGTGATCGTCGAGATGCGCTCAGGGGTCGGCTAGAAGCCGGCTCGACGATGGGCTATGACGGCGAACCTCTTCGCGCGTTCTGAAGATGTAGATGCTGCCCTATCCGAGGTGTTTTTTGACCCCACCTGGCTGTTTTTCTGACGGGAAGAAGAAGAGGCAGCGACAAACCATTCGGTCAGGGGCGCGCGGACGACGATGCCCGTGGACGACGATGCCCGTGGACGACGATACCCGTGACTGATTGTCTTCACAAACACAATGACCTCAGACCATGACTCTGTTCTCCCCTGTCGAATGACTGTTGTGTGTGCTGTGTCAGGTTGACTTCCCACGATGGCCTTCCCGAACAACAGAGCCTTCGTAGTATTAAGAGAAATCTCGGCGATAATGGGGTGATGTTCTACGACACAGTAACATGCGTCAGTCTCAGCTGCTGCGGCCTTCATTGTTAGTTCGTCGATACAATATATTCTGGGTTTACGTCTTACCAAGAGGCATGGGAGTAGAGAGACATGAGAGCGACGTAACTGGAGTGGAAGACGCAGAGTTCAAGACCAAGTCTGGCAGTGTGTGGAGACGTCAGCAGTATCAAGACTACTGGCCAGGATATTCCGGAAACGATTGGGATGACCTCCTGGGATTGGGTAAATACTGTGATGATGTCGAAAACAATGCGAGGAGGACGCGCTCAGTCTAACATTCACATCAGAAAGTGGAACCAGTGAATAACAACCCGACAGTCGAGGACGGCACTCGATATCGATCAAAAGCAGTCGGTAGCTGTTGAAATGCATCTCGCTGATATATTCTAGGTCTCGAAGAAGACTGGCTAGGAGACGATCTACTCAACATGCTAAAGAACATTCATCCGAAGGTTCTTGATACCGGGAAAAGGCAAAAGAACCAGCCGTGAGCGTTCGAAGGACATTGAGGTGCAGTCATAGCTTGTATGAAGGGCTTGTGATGCATTTAGAGGAACGGGTTGAAGACGTCAAGTACTCGGTTGTAAGAGTTTCATATTCGACGTCGAGGCGCCACCACAAGGTCTGCTGTAAGTTCGTCGCTCGTCTCTTCACGCAACGTTTCTGGGAGTGATGGTGTCTGTTTGCGGGCTGTAGGTCAGACTAATTGGAGCTACAATTAGATTTAGGGGAGCTCGTTCGGCTCTGCTGTCGCAGAGTTATACTACGAAAAACAGGAAACACGCACAGAAGGTAGGCAGTCTTGGCAGAGAACTTGTGCTACAAAAGCATAAGATTGCCCCGACTGTATCTTGTATATTCGAATTCCTGGGTAGGGGAATTGACTGCCTGTTCATTTGGCCTGCGAACCCAGCTGGGAAACACCATCGACTGTCTTTATATGTGAATGAACAGGATATGGAGGTGTTGAGGACTTTGAGCTGGCTAAGGTTGGTGCGTAGGGTCGCTGCAGGATGCGATGTCGTCGACGTATGTGATGTAGTACGAGTATCAGCTTGAGAAACTCCTGATAAAACCAACTTATCGGTTCCGTTGGCCAGCATCGTGTTGCTCGCCTTCCCCATGATAAGAGGAAATAGTAGGGCTCAAAACTTGCCACCAAGTCATAATCGAACTTGTAGAGAGGTGGGAGACGAATCTGAGGCCTCGAGAATAAGCGACGTAGGCTATGATTCTTGAAGGCAATAGCTGCTTTCAACCTTGCCTTAGGATACAGCTACGTCGTCTCTCGCCGAGGCTGGCATTGATGAAGTATTGTTGCTGAATACGGGCGGGTTGAAGTGTGCAGTGTAGCTCTCACGACCCCGTCGCAGCGATCTAAATATATCTGGCTTGAACTCTTTGTGATAGTGGCTTTCAAGATCGTCCAGATAGATACAGAGGTTTCATTGGCCGTGTTTGAACATTTCAAATGTTATCTCCTACTCGAATATGTATTGGGAGCACTGCCTTTCTCACCCCTCTCAAGGAAGCGTTAAGTTAATGGTCGTTATAGCCAGGAAACAAAATCTCTATAAGTGGAACCTCTGAATTCAGGAACTCGTGGGTGCAAGCAAATTTTACCGGTGTCCACCTGTCCCTCGCCGTTGCTGGCCATGATATCAAGACACACCTGCCAGGTGTTGGTATCGAGGCTCAGGCATGGCGCCCGCATTGCTTGCTCCCTTCAGATGTCTGACGGTGTATTCCGACCGCTTACAATTCAGACGAAGAAGCCAAAGGATACCCACCAACTCGAAAAGAAGCCGAGGAGAGTGCTAGAGTCGATAGCTGAGATAGCAGATAGTTGCGTTCTGTGGATGACTATGTACATGATCTGACGTCGGCGGTTTCTATCAAATCCGCTGAAACAATAGTATCAACTAGGAATACACCGAAAAATGTCTGATCTGATCGTCGCAGTGATTTCGGTTTCTCTGGAAGGGGCAGATGTCTGAGAACATCCCAGGCAATGGAGCAAATCTTTGAAGACGTCACTACGGTCCCGATTCAGATAATGACCTGTTCCGTCGACTTATCCCCTGCCCAACTTTGTGAGACGGACTTATTATCGCAGCTTGCCTTCGGTTCTAGACAGATGTTACAGTCAATTCATAGTGCAACGTTCGATTTCACAAGAAAGACGTGGTTCGCATGCTAGACAGCCTGGAAAACGCATTCTCTCGGCAGACAGACCAAGTCAACATTGAAGCTGGAATCTTGTATATGGATTCTCAGTAGTGCTGCGAAGCATTCTTCGAAAGCTAATACTCCATTCATTTACACCTTTGGGTCTCTTCAGACTGACGCATTGTTGTGTGGCAGTCCAGCCGAGGGCTTGTTACACGCAGTGTCCATGAAAGACCCTTCGGTCCCATTATTGTCCTTTATTTGTTAGTGATTCGAGCTTCCAAGGGGAATAGTTCGTCGGCTATCCGTGGAACATACGCATCAAACACAATGCTATTAACATTAGTTGCTACTGTGGTCTTCAAGCATGTTGTAAACGTTGTGTGCTCATTTTCAGGAATCTGTTGGCCGCTCACGATTGGCTTTGCCTTCTCTTCTCAACATCATTCATCGCCTTAAATACTATATAGTTAGTTCTGCGATTTCCAGCTTGACTCAGACTTGCGTTCACACTCTTGCTGCGTTTTGCCACCCATGCCCATCCATGTCTCTGAGAACCTGTGTGGGAGAGAGTCATTTCCGCCCCACCTTTACATCTGTGGGCGCATCATAGGGCTCAATCCCACTGCCTCCCACAACAACATCTGAACAACTCAGTTCGGTCGGTTAGCTCAGTTGGTTAGAGCGTGGTACTAATATCTCATCTGAGATGTTCAGTAATGCCAAGGCCGGGAGTTCAAGCCTCCCACTGATCACGTCTTTTTGCCTCTCTCGTCTACCTCTACCGCGGTGGCGGGGTAGATTCTACTATCTATTTTTAGTTTTCTTTTTGATAGTTCATTCACATCAACGCGGCTTACTGCATACGACGTTGTTATGCTACGTATCTGCTAAGTCCCGATTCGTGCAAGCATCGTCGTGTCAAGGAGTTTGTTTGAGATCTAATGTGAGGTGGGCGAGAGTGGTGAGGTGGTGAAGTGAAGAGCGAATGGCTGGCATGGGTTGAGATCGATGGGATCGCTATTGACTGACTTGGTTCCGTCATTCAGTGACAGCGCGGGCAAGCGGCAAGACTAAGTGATATGAAGCCTCGTGATGACCTGATTTCCCTGTGTCTGCGTGGCTAAATTTTACTCGTGTTGAAGACAATAGTAACGACAGTGACGACGACGACGGTAGGCTGGAGTATATCGAAGGAAAACCAGCCGCTCCACCATAGGAAAAACAGGTGGTCTCCTCGTAATTTGCCAGGCCCATATCACGATGGTTTTGATTGGAATTACACCATGAACGAGAGGAAGCTGGTTAGATGCTGCCCGGGCTTATTAATGGCTTGGTCTAGATTCAATGGCTGGCGCTGGAGGTGCGTGGGAGAGCGAGGCAACTGGATAGCTATGAGGGCGGGAGGACCTTCTCAAACAAGCTGGCAATCACAGGGAAAGCGAGTCCATGGACCTTGAAGGTTGAAAGTCATTCGTTTTCCCTTTGCCCTCTACACCATAACTTTTATGCGGATCGTCGACTCTTGAAGGAAAAAGAAACACGGCACACGCATAGCTCGAGCCCAAACGCCGTGTCATGAAGTTTCAATGTTTCATTTGCCTGCCTGACCCTTTACAAACCCAAGCCAAGCAGCAATACCGCGAGGCATGCCATTTGCATTATGCGTCGATGAGGGCGGTGGACGAACCCGCACCGAGCATTTCCGGAAACACGTCCCCCATCGAATCTCGTGTGAAAAGGACGCTACCAGATCATTTTTTGATCCACGTTTGACTCCTCCCGGTTTAAAAAGAAGAACGATGTGTCTTTTTTGCTGCGCGGGATAACACCAAAAGCTGACCGGACCGGAAAACCCCCACTCTGCCCAAATTTCCATTTTTTCCCACACACTCACACCTTCCCCAGCTGCCTGCGCGAAACCAGGAGAGGTAGATATCCCATGGCCCGACACAGACAAATTGGAGGAAAGAGCGACGCCAGCCAGAGAGAGAGATACCGTTTAACGGTAAGACTTCTGGAATCTGGAGCGGGCACCAACACCACCGAACTTCTTGGGCTCGCACCGGCGGTTGTCGGCGACGAGGAGGGTACGGTCGAACTGGACAAGAGCCTGCTTCAGCATGTTCTTGGAGTGCTCGTCGACGAACTTCTGGTAGTAGGCGACGACAGACTTGGCGATGGCCTGACGGATGGCGTAGATCTGGGAAGTGTGACCACCACCGGTGACGCGGACGCGGATGTCGATGTTGGCGAACTTGTCGAGGCCGAGGACGAGGAGGGGCTCGTAGACCTGTGGGTGAGTACGTTAGTATGTTTGTCGTTGCGAAATTCCGATGCATGTCCTTTTGCGGTCCCTCGGTCTTTGTGTTTCCCAATCCTCTTGCTCGTTGTGAAGAGCAAGACGCCGCGATGCTTCTCTTCCTCTCCCATTGAAGTGTTCCGTCATCCTGGCGCCTTGCTCTTCGCTTCCGAGTTTCGATACACGTGGTGGTTTCCTCCTCTTGTCGACCGATTCTGCATTGGGATTGTTTCGCGCGGGTTTGTTCGTACCTTGAAGCGGAGGATCTCAGGCTGGACAAGCGAGAGGGGCTTGCCGTTGACCTTGACGAGGCCCTTGCCAGCCTAAAGCAACATCAAAGTCAGCCTTCCAAAGTTCGATATCGAATTTTCGTTCACCACCCCCAGTCGCTCTGGGACGGCAGGTTCATCTCTCGTTCGGCAGGGGGAGGCAGAAAAATTTCGGGATCGCACCTTGCACTGGGCAACCGCAGTGGCGGTCTTCTTCTTGCCGAAGCACTGGACGCTCTGGGTGGACGACATGGTTGCTGCGGGATGGAGGGGGGACTGTGAGGAAATTCGCAGCGGTAATCGTGAGCGCGTACTTTGGTGATATCGAAACGGACAAGATTTGGATTTTTCGCGAGGGCTGTTGTGCGTGTGCCCTCCATGGGGCGCTAGTCGAAGAAGAGCTTAGCGCCTCCGGAGTTGAGCCGGCGGACCTCTTCACGTGATCTTTGCGGTCTAGGCTGCGTGGACCTGGAGAGCCATCCGGGCTTGCCTTATGTCATCACCCGCGACATCGAAGCGGGAGACCCGCCGAGTCGGAACTGCTGTTGACGTCGGCGCCAACGAGGACCGACATGGCGGAGCGTCCACCAAGATATCCGCCCCTCTATTAACCTCCCTCTCTGCCCCTCTTCCCCCCAAAAAGACAGGCAACAGAAAGCTAGCTCACCAACCAAGACCCCCCTTTTCCCGCTCCCGTCCTCCACATCCAAACTCCTCCCGCCGCCCTCCTCACGAAACCGCCGACCGACCGAAAGCATGTCGCGAAAAGGCATCGGCATCGCGGCCTTTGACCGGTCCCGCCTGACCTCGGCGCAGTACGCCTCTCACGGCTCCAACCTGCGCAGCAGCAACGCCCAGGCCCTCGAGACGCAGCTCTCCGTCTTCCGCTCCCTCCTCCAGCAGTTCGCGCAGACCCACGCCAAAGACATCCGCTCCGATCCCTCCTTCAGGGCGCAGTTCGCGCGCATGTGTTCCGCCATCGGCGTCGACCCCCTCGCGTCGTCATCCTCCTCGGGCAGCGGGGGCGGCTCGTCGTCGATATGGGCGCAGCTGCTGGGCAGGTCGGTCAACGACTTCTACTTTGAGCTCGCGGTGCGGGTCGTCGAGGTGTGCGGCGCGACGCGGGACGAGAACGGCGGTCTGATTGGGGTTCGCGAGGTGCGGGAGCGCATCATGACGGGCCGGATGGAGGGCGCGAGCGAGGTCACGGAGGACGATGTGCTGAGGGCCGTCGGCACGCTGAAGCCGCTGGGCAGTTCGTTCAGCGTCATCAAGGTTGGAAGCAAGGACTACATCCGGAGCATACCGAAGGAGCTCAACACGGACCAGAGCGCCGTGCTCGAGGCTGTTCAGGTGCTGGGGTACGTCAGCATCTCCATGCTGATGGTCAACTTGAAGTGGCCGAAGGCGCGGGCGCAGACGGCGTTGGAGGACCTGTTGGGTGAGGGCATGTTGTGGGTTGACAAGCAATGTCCGGAATGGGAGTATTGGAGTCCCGGGTTCATGGTGGACACCGGAGAGGCCACGGCCGGGGAGTGAGAGCCGCGTGCGGAGACATCACGAGCCACATATCCACTTCTCCGTTTGACAGACCGGCGGAATCACGTCACACCGACGATTGACCAAGTCCAGAATTCGGACAAGGGGGCACATCGCGTCCATGACTAGGTCTACACCGGGCTGGTTGTTCAGAGACACAAAAGTCCTCCAGCTGTTGCCGAGACCATGAGAGTGCATGCTACACAAGAGCATTTAATAGTGCTTGGTAGATCGTTAGCATACGGCCATGACGAAGATATGAAAGATCTCAAGCCAGGCCAGCTTAGAACGCAGTCCACTCGATAGTTAGTCACAATAGACGCCGATGCAGCAAGTCGAACCATAAAACCAAGCGCATTGAACCTATCTACCGACACACAGGACATATAACATGACGCAACGTACGAAGCAAGCAAATTGTACAAAGATACTCAGCGGCCCGGTTGCAGCGTTTCCAAGCCGCCAGCCTCTTGCTCGCGTATCATTCACACTGCCCCCCGCCCCTCAACTCCAGAATTCCGCCCCAAGGACGGAACTCGTTTTCGTATTAGATGTTACTAGATCTCATCAAGGGGGCGTAATCTTGCCGTCATCAAAGTCTCCTTTAGTAAGGAGGGTTGGGGCCACCCATGGGGCCGGGGTGAGGGCCTCCGTGAGGCCCTCCGTGGGGTCCGTGAGGTCCGCCGTGAGGAGGGGGGTAGTCCTCCGGGCGACCTCCCATCGACGGGGAGCGACCATCGGAGCGACCGTCACCGAAGTGCTTCTTGCGGAGAGCCGCAAGGCGCTTCTTCTTGGTGGTGGTGTTGATGTAGGTGCCGATAATGAAGGCAACCAGGTTGAAGAAGGGAACCCAGAGTTGATCCGGGAGGAACTTCTGGGCAAAGGCCAGGCACAGAGGAGAAGTAATCCAGCTGACCTTCATGACCTTCCAGAAGCCGACCTTCACAGTGGCGCGGACCTGGTGGTACGTCTTGGCGCCAGCAATCAGGGCCATGGCGACCAGGTAGACGGAATTCTGAATGGGCGCAATCTACGGAAAGTCAGCCATCTCTTCTGTCGCGATATATTAGCAATCAGACCACGTACAATCAAGTTGCTGACGATGATCTGCAGGACCTTGGCGCGCAAGCTGGTGCGGCCGGCAAAGGTCTTCTGCAGGGCCCAGATGAGGAAGTGGCCGAGAGGCGCGCTAACGATGGCGCCGTAGGCGGCCATCTTGGGCACGCGCGAAGTGAAGTAGTTGCCATGCTTGTTGCGGTCCTTGGCGAGGAAGGACGCGAGCAGCTCCTGGGCGCCAGCTAGAGTTCCAGCCGTGAGCATCTTGGTTCGCAGGGGGTTCTCCTCGAGCTGCTTGATGTAGGCCTGGTTGCAACCGCGTCAGTGGTGTATTCTCGTAGGATTTGGCCGCGTCTTGGCGGCGATTTCGCAGGCATGACGGAATCGAGGGAGTGTAAGACGAACCGCGAGGTAGCCTTTGGAGCCTGCATTCTTCTTGCCTCCGGTGATGGCAGTGCCGATGGCCTCAGAGATGGGATGCTTTCCGCTGGTGCCGGGCAGAGGCTTCTCGGGGTGGAAGGTATCTTGGACCTTGTCGACGGCCTTTTGCAGCGTCTCTTTCGTCTCCTTCTCGAACTTGACGGACATTTTGGGCTATGCGTCGGGGGGTATCGCTATCGAAATGGGAAACGCGGGGAAGACAAAACTGCGGTGAGGGATGAGCATTAGCTGAGAGGGTCTTCTCGATTGTGTTCGCGATGGATTTTCCGGGGGGGTGTTCGTCAATTGATTTGCGGCTCCAGCTTCCAGACCCCGGGGGCCAATGGTTTGTTTACCGCGTCGCTCAGCCGACCGACAAGGAGTGGGCAGTAAATTGCGCGGCGACAGCTTGGAGGACTCGGAAAACCGCAATTGCAACTTGACGATGGTCGGAAAAGTGCGCGACGAAAAATTAGGGCAACGTACTGAGTGTTTCTTGCAAGATGACAAGAAGGTGGGAGTCTGGCCGTCTCGGACGGGAGGTTGGGCGGCAGCAGCAGCAGTAAGAGGCGGGTGGGTTGTTGATGTGTGGTAGAGTGGTCGAGGAGGTTGACACAATTGGGGCCCTCTGGGCTCCCCTTTGGTGCGTGCGGATCGGATCCTAGGTACGACACGGGAAACTAGAACCAGGCAAGCTGTGTGGGCTGGAAACTGGGTGACTGGTTGGATGTGAACCGGCTGGGGGGAGGGGGGGCGACGCTGGACACTGGACTGGGCAACATGGGAGGAGAGGGACGGGACTGGGAGGAGATTGATTGCTTGCCTGAGATGGGGGTGGTGCCTCGACCTGGACTCTTCTCTTCCTGGACCTGCTGGACCTGGAGCTCGCTGCTGGGAGAAGCTCATTCGTCTTCGAGCGCTAGTCGACCGGGATGTTGCATGATGGGGCAGAGCTGGACGGAGCTGCAGGGGTGTGTCAACTGGGAGCTATGATTGGCTGCACATAGCCAATGGCCCGAGGTCTGTTTTCACCTCCCGAGGAGGGGACGACGGCCAGCTAGAAAAAAAAAAATTGGGTGGTGGCAGCGGACGGACGCACGCCAGCTCATCCTGACAGACGCTGGAATCCTGCACTTGCCGGCAGTGATTGTCTGTGCTGGGTTGACCCCTAGTGAACCCTTCCCAAAAAATGATGGTTTAATGATCAAGCTTCATGCTTTGGAGATGCCGAATCGTCCGAAGGTCGTCTGAACCACTCATTCTCCTCCCGCTTTGCATCCCACCAGCTTGGCACCCTCGCAAAATTCCGCCAAACTTTTTTTTCTTCATCGAAACGAAGTTTGTGTGTGCTGATGACGAGCTGGGTCAGAATGATAAGCGAGCCTGGGGTGTGACATCTGATATCAAGTCAACAACAACGAGCCTCAGGTTTTAAAGCTCGAACCTGCTTTCCACGGAGAATACTTAAAGTGGTCCTGGGCTTGCGTTAGCATTGTTCGACATGCCAAGGCGATTGGAAGAAGCAGACTTCCTTACCTCGGCGAGCTATGCGATTGGTGACATGTTCTCGCCTATGGCGAAATCCGCACTCTACCTAGACGTATAACCTTGTCAAGCATATGCAAAAGATTGTGGATGCCCTTGGTTCTTCAGCAAGAGTGGCATGTTGGTCGACAAATTCGTCCATCTGCCGGCCGGTGGAAACGAATAGCGGATATCATTGGCAACCAAGGTGTCACCGTACGCGTCCAGGTGCAGCAAAATGATATCAGAGAGCTGGATAACATCGATGTAAGAGAACCTGAGCAAGTAGCGGTGGGAGAGTCGAGCCCAACGCCGATAACACCCAAAGTTTCGCAACGATCAACATGACTCACATCCTCGAGAGCTTTGCAGAGGCCCAGAAGTAATGCGTAAGAGTATTGTTTCTTGCATTCAATGTCATTCATATCTGTCAGCCTGCCGACAGTTATGAAAAGCATGCCAGTGTTACTGCAGATCAATAAGCGATTCTGAACGGCACCAGAAGCTTACATGGAGACGTCAACCCACCGACCGAGATAGCCTAATTGGAGTTCAGTCGCCATGGTGTCTGCTCGGTCAATATATGATTAGGTGGTGTTGGAATCTGAGGGTTTGGGCAGTGCATCGCCGGCAGGAAAATGTGCAATTCAAACAAAGAAGGCGGGTGGTGACAGGAATCGGGAGCTCCTGCACTTTAAGATGAAAGCACGATGTCATCGCATTTCGCCTTGTAGTGAATGTGAAGTTGAAGCGGGTGCTCTTGCCCAGAAGTCTAGTTTTTCACCTACAAGGCCCAAGTATGCTCCTTCTCAACTCCTTAAGGCTATTGACCCTTCGCTCCTCCCGGGACTTTTTGGGTTTGGAGTATCACCAAATGACAGCCTGACCTACGGAACTCCTACAAACACCCGCCACTACCATCCGACGCCCATTTCCTCGAGATCGTGATGGCTGGCATCAAGATCAAGACGGGCCCGCAGGGTTCCTCCCGCCAGACGCGAACCTACGCGGCCTGCACTCACGTTACGTTAATCCGCGTCTATAGCTACCATCTCCGCTGCGATTCTTGTGGCAACCTCGGCCCTTTGGGCTGGCTGTACTGTTGTACTCAAGATCACGAGGAGTTGCTTCGCGAGGCCATTTGCCGTGGAGAAGAGGTAAGTACCGAGGACTTGGCAAAAGCCATTTGACTGACAAGGAAAGTGCAACTTTGACGAGCTGGGCCGTGACATGGTCAATACCGTCAAACCCAGACTTCGCGGACCAGAGCAGCGGGCCACGAACCCAGCCAACTTTCTCGAGGAAATGTCCCCTGAATTTATTGCCAAAACGTACACTAGCGAACAGCTTATGACCATCTTCAACCAACGCAAGCATGTCAGTAACTCTCACTTGGGTATGTTCTGGGGACTGACATGATCCAGCTTGCCAAAGTTCTTCAGCAAGAGTCTGATCGCAAGACGGCAGCCACTGTCAAAGAATCCAATACGTCCGACTTGGCCGAGTTCTTGACTCAAAGCGCCAAACCCTGGGTTCCGAATCCGAGAGAGGGTTGCAAGTACAGAATTTGTCCTTGCTGTCGCCCTGGTGGCGCAGACAGAGCATATCTCAGCCTTGACAGTATCGCTAACGGCGACGTTCCCGCGACGGCTGCGACGGGTTGGGGATTTCATCATTTCGGTCGCAGGCCGATCTGCAACCCTGAAGTAGTCGCCAACCTGGGTCTTCGCTCGCAGACTTCCGTGAGTATCATAAATGAAAATAGGCGCAGTTTCTGACACCTCTTCAGTCGACGGCTCCCTCTCTTACATCCACGTCTCCGGCATCGACAGCCAGCCGAGACACTTCGAGCACTGAAGATAACCTCGAGTCACGTCTTACAAGTCTGAACATACAGATCGATCTACCCAACAGACTTCGCAACCCCGAAACATCCTCGCCGTACCCAAGCCCACAGCCTCCCTTGCCCCGATCTCCCGGTTCTCCAAACCTCGCTGCCC